AAAAAAAAAAAAAAAAAAAGGCTTACTGAACACATATCTCCGTTTGGTTTCGTTAAACTCATTTTGAAAATTCATTAACTCAGTTAGGTATTAGAATTCTATCTTTTGATGTTTGTTTTTTCTTTTACTGTTGGTGTTGTCATCTCATTGTTTTGTTTTAGGGCTTACTGAACCTATTTTTTGGTTATTGAAAGTTCAGAATTTGGCTCGGTTTCAGTAGTCTCATTGTAAAAGCTGAATAATTCAGTTCGATATTGAAGTTTTATCTTTTGTTGTTCATGTTTTCTTTTATTGTTGGTGTTGTCGTCCAATTTCTTTGTTTTGTGTTCACTCCGTTAAAACAAAAAGTGGCTTATTGAACAATTTTTTTGGTAACCGAAACTTCAGTAATTGAACATACTTCGGTTCGATTTCGATAACTTCATTTTGAAAACTGAATAATTTTGGTATAGAAATGCTATCTTTTGCTGTTCGTTTTTTATTTTGTTGTTGGTGTAGTTACACATAATTGGGTTGTGTTTTGGTTAAGGCATCATTTTGAAAACTGAATGTTAAATCCTTTCAAATAATTTATCTTACAAAATTGATACCTATTTCATATAAATTCTTATTTTGCAGCTATATGTTACCTGTACGCCCATTTGAGTTTTATGGAGATAAAACTCAGGCAAGGCAGGTCGGGAGATTTTAAAGGGAGGGTCGGCTCATTATCGACATCCCATGTTACCGATTCATTCGCGTCTGTTCAGGATTTTAATGCTGGCCCACAAGTTTATACTCCTCGGTTTCGGCAATTTCTCGAGGAAAATAGAGTGACATATGATGACAAATATGGACCCGATTTGGCTTTGAATAATGAGAGATTCAAGAGGTTTGAGAAAAGGAGGGGAGCAAAAGTACTAGTTTCAGAAAGCACTTCTAGGTACTTTTATGCTCTCATTGATAATGAGTGGTTGAGGCGTCGACTACTCTCCTCCCCCCTCTTGAGTTCTATACCTGTCAGAGAAGACCTTTATGAACTCCCGCGAGATGTAGTGTCCTCGACAAATTCTCCTTGCCGTCATGATGGGGATAAATTGGTGATGCACCTTTGTGTGCTTACCGGTTTCGGGGTGGTGGACGGCCAGCCCTATTATGAGATTCTGAATAGTTGGGGAGAATGTTGGTCCAGCTATGGATTCGGTCAAATTCCGCCGCAGGACATCTTTCGCATAATCGATTTCGAAGTAACTGAGAGATTAGCATAGCCAATTCAGTTTTCAATTCAGAATAGAAGGCAGAAGAAAGTTAAAGTGCAAACTGTGAAAAGGCAAGTCATGGGGAGTTTGAGCTAGTTTAGAACAAAGTATTATTTAGTTGGTCTATTTCAGAACCACTTATCTTAGAACAAAGTATTATAACCAATTTGATTTTCACTTTATCTTAGAACAAAGTAATGTTTAGATGGTATATATGTTGCATAACAAGTTTGATTTTCAATTTCCTTGAGGTGTAGTTGACTCATTTTTTAGAACAAAGTAATGTTTAGTTGGTATGTTGCATAACAAGTTTGATTTTCAATTTCCTTGAGGTGTAGTGGACTCATTTTTTAGTCATTAAAAATGCTTGATTTCTAAAGGTTTTGATCCTATGCAATAAAAGTCCAAAGATTACAATTCATTCATAATCACATGCTACATAATTTTTTTTAAAGGATCTGATCCTAAGCTATATAAAATGTCAAAGTTTACTATTCATTCATAATCACCTATTACATAATTTTTTTAAGATAGTAATCATTATTATCTACAACTCCATCAAAGAAGATTATATTTAAAGAAAAAAATTGAAGGTTTATTCTAAATTTTCAAAGGATGTATAATAATTTTAATTATCGTATTTCATTAAAAAAAAATCTCAGCCGTAAAACTTGCTCATTTTATATTACAATTATAATAACTAATTAATCTCAGACGTTAAACTACCCATAACATAATGTCTCGATGTTAGGTGGGGTTGCCAATTCTCTGCTTTGATCTCGACTTGTCGGAATTCAGTACTCAGCAGAAAATCATTAAACAAACAGAATTTCGAGTCGATTACCATGAAGTTTATCTTTGATGATGAAAGACTTATGGATATGTCTGTACGCTGGAATTCGCCTATGTCACAAACAATAAGCATAAAGGGGAAAGAAGGTAATAGAGATGATTAGGACATCAATGATGAACACTTTTCTTTTATATCATGACAAGCACTCTTTTTTTT